ACATAGAATAAAAAAAAAATAAAAAAATAAATAAAAAAATAAAAATAAAATAAAATAAAATAAAATCTACAATGAAATACAGTACAGTAAAATAAATAAATAATGAGGAATGGGTACAGTGTGACTGAGCACTTACCTTTAATATAGTCAGCTGAATACACACAGGGTCCCCATAATTTTCTATTTACAGGTATACATGGAGACTATATTAATTGGATGAAGCAGAGGAGGAGACAGGGCTGGGTGGGTCATCAATGTTGCTTTCTTCAGACAGGTTTATGTGCTGTGAAAACATACTGGTTGAAGGTATTGGATCATCTTGAGGGAGTGAAGAGGCAGCACTGCTGGGGCGTGAGGAGACAGCACTGGGGGACTTCTTAAAATAGATGTCCAATTTAGACTGCACAGTTTGCTTTTTCTTTTCATCATAAATTTATCTGTAGCAAGCAAGTGCATCTTGGATCATTCTGTCAACTTTGACAAAATGCTCATAATTTTGATCCATGCCATCAAACATTTGCATTCCTTTATTGATTGTAGCAAATGCCTCTGCCATTGCTTCACTGAAAACTTTTTGGGGGGTGCAGGTCCTTCTTCTACATTTAGACTGGCTTCTTCGTCTGCATCTTTGTGTGCTTCCTGTTCGATGAGATCTTCGTTACTGAGCTCTTTTGCTACACTTTCAACCAACTGTTCAACATCTTCATTATCAATTTCTAACTCAAGCTGTTTACCTAACTCCACTATCTTGTTACTAATATCAGAAATAACTTTATTTTCATTAAAACCTTTGAAACTGTGCACATATCTTTTCAGGAGTTTCTTCCATATTCCATTCATGCAATGTTTTGTAACCTGATCCCATGCTGCACGAATGTTCTTTATACATGACAAAATGTTGTACTCCTTCCAAAAGTCTCTGAGCGTTTTCTCACCTTCAGTAGCAGCAACAGCCTGAACGAAGCTCGTACGTAAATAATACGCTTTAAAGGCAGCAATAGCACCTTGATCCATGGGTTGGATGATGGAGGTAGTGTTAGGTGGAATGTACACTACCTTAACGTCAGGGTGCATGTCGTCCAGGTGTGGTGGGTGTCCCGGAGCATTATCTAAAATTAATAAAATCTTGAATGCAACCCCTTGTTGCAGACAATACTCCTTGGCTCGAGGAATGAAATAATTCATGAACCAATCCTCAAACAGTACAATGGTCTTCCAGGCTTTCTTGTTACTGCAATAAAACACTGGCAGTGTGTGCTTGCTGACATGTTTTAAAGCCCTGGGGTTCTCTGAATGATAGATCATGAAGGGCTTTAAGTTGAAACAAGCAACATTACCCCCCAACAGAAGTGTAATTCTGTCCTTGAATGCCTTGAATCCTGGCATTGTTTTCACCTCTTTGTGGATGTATGTCCACTCAGGCATGTGCTTCCACAATAATCCAGCCTCATCCACATTGAATATTTGCTCAGGCAAATAATTTCCTTCCACAATCACATCATCTAACTCCCCCTTAAAAGCTTCGGCAGCACCAACATTGGCACTAGCTGCCTCTCCACTCACCTTAACATTGTGTAAACTGTAGTGTTTTTTAAATCTATTAAACCACCCATGACTTGCTGTAAAGGTTTGCTCACATTCATCTGCCTGCTCCTTCAGGCTTTGGAACAGGCTTCTTGCTTTAGCCTGTATGGTTAGAAGGCTTAAGGGTACACGCTTCTGTATTTGGTTTTCTATCCATATCACCAATAATTTTTCCATATCGTGAATAGGACCTTGTCTTTTCTTCGAAATTACAGTTCCCTTTATAGGTGTTGTTCCTTTCACTACATCACGAATACATTCCTTGTCCTTCAGAATAGTGGATATGGTCGAGTGCGAGAAACCTAGGTCGCGTGAGATTGTTGCTACTGTTTTTCCATTCTCATATTGCATTACTATCTTCATTTCCATCTCAAAAGTAATTGCCTGTCTCCTTTTCTTCTGAGCACCACCAGCACTTGCACTTGTACGCTTTCCAGTCATTATAAAGTCAATTAAATACAATAATAATGTAGGTACACAGCGCGATCAGTATAGGATACGATAGCCAAACACCAACTAAGCGCTCCACTGAGTGGGAGCTGTACCCACACGGTGACCCAACAAGCCACGCTCTCGCCCGGGACGGAAATGTTTCGGTATAGAATATGCGCGCGTCATTTGAAAAAAATTTTGGTCACGACTGCGGCGGTCGTATGTGCAGACGGTCGTACGGTCAGAGCAGGTCGTAAGTGGAGATTGACGTAAGTTGAGTCAGTCATAAGTCGGGGACTACCTGTATATATACATGTATACTGTATATATTTTTTTTATCATATTCGCCACGTATCAGCTTACTAGCCTTTTGGGCGGTTTATCCAGTAATAGTAGAGGAGGAGACCGGGGACTGGGAAAGCTATGGTGTTTGGTAGGGTCACACTGGATAACACCCTTCTCACTTGTGTCCGGGCCGAGGCTCTAACCCTTTACATATTGATGAGAGTTTTGCGCTTTACCGCTGTCCATGTGAGATGGGAGGATGAGATGCTTAGCTTAGAGCCGAGATTAGATGCACAGTTTGGAGTCAAGATGAGGTGCGTAGTTTAGACTCTTAGACTCTTGGAAAAATTTCCCCAATACCCAGAAACATTCCGGGGATGTGGGCTAGTGTCTATCTGTGCTCTATACATAGTTTAGACTCTAAGAACCTTTTCCCAATACCAAGAAAAATTTGTCTCATTACCCAGAAATCTCTCATCCCAGGAAGAGCTCTGCACCAATTGTTCTTGCTAATGGGGATATCACTGTACTGTTCCATAAGGTTTGTTGACACTGTACCAACCCTACTGAGCATGGGTAAGCATGTCAGAAGTGGCTGGCCCTAGCATTGGTGGTTGTTAACCAGCTCTCAAAAACATTGTGCCTTTGGTCACAAATTTTTGGGTTTATTGATTTTTAAGGGCTGGGACTTATCCCATATAGCTGATTCAAATGAGCTGAAATATGAATACAGGTTAACATTGACCCAGTGGTTGTTTTGAAACTGGAGGCTGGATTTTAAGACATACACACTACATTCTCTCATTAACTTTCATGAGGGATTAAATGTGTGGGTCAGTGAGTGTATTTATGATAGGGATGGGCTATGAAATCTCATTTTGTTCTCTACATTTAAATTAAGTACAGTAAAATATATGGCTCTAAAACCTGTTTGTCCTCTGGAGACATAGACTGTATTTTTATAGGAATGTTGGGTGAACTAACAGCTGACCTGTAACTACAGTAGAAGTCCAGAAATCCAGACTGCTTGGGGATTGGGTCGGTCCGGATTTTCGGATTTCCGGTTTCTTAGGCAGTACTTTTAAAATTCAAATTTAAGGAGGAATAAAGAAGAGATGAACAGGTACATTTTGATAGCTTATTCAATAGCAAATATAGCATGCTTCATTTATCAAAACGAGCAGTTTTAAAGAAAAAGCTGTGAATTATAGAATTTTAATATTTGCCTTTTTTATATCATAAATTGTCGACTTTCCAATGTCGTATGTTTCCATTAGAACAGTATTGCTCACACCACGTTCTATTTTCTTAATTATTTCAAGTTTGTCACTCAATTTCAACGTGTTCTTCTTTCTCTTCACACAACGAAGTTTATCTACTTTAGGAGCCATTATTATGGGCTTGTACAGTACTCTGTAAATGGAAAGAGTAAGATTCAAAATTACAGTGGTCCCTCGGTTAACGAAATTTCGGTTAACGAACTGCTTCCCATAAGATTCTTAAATTCGGTTAACGAACAAAAATTCGGTTAACGAATTTCTTACGAACTGACCTCAACATGTTTTCGCTTGCACTGGCCGGTCAACCAGCTTTAGTATTAGTCCGCCAATACATTAATCGGTTCTAGGGCTTAAATTCCTTACTATTTTAGTAAATATCAAGAAGTTTATACTATTCAATAATTTTAAAAGTTTAATATTCAATTTTTTAGTCATTTTAACAATTATTGAACATAATTGAAGGTAAAGTGGCTAGTTTAATGCGCAGCATCCAGCCTCTTAATACAGCAAACAGGCGTTAGTGTCTCTCTGTTTTCACTGGAGGTAACATCTTGCTTGAGACTCTCTTCAACTAAACGCTTTTTTTCTGTTTCCAAGCAAATTATTGGTCATTTTGAAATATATTTTACATATTGACAATATATAATGCAGTGCAGTGTTGATTTAAAGAAAATAATCTTGAAATACACCAAGAGAACTAAAATTTTATGGGTGAATGGTGCCATGGGCCTGGAGGACTTCTCTTCCACCCCAATGCCTTCTCTTCTTCCTTCTCCTCCACCCCCATTCTAATTCCCATCATCATCATCATCATCCAGGAGCCTTCTACATACACACCTCAAAGTAAGTGAACTTTTCTACTATTTTTGTTGAATTTAGGCAATTTTCGGTGAGCTGGAACCAATTACCCAAAAACCCATTGAAACAATGGTTTCGGTTAACGAATTTTTCGGTTAACGAACACCTGCTGGAACGGATTGTGTTCGTTAACCGAGGGACCACTGTACATACATTGTCACAGTTTGATTGCTCATTTTAAAGTGGCAACTGCGTGGTCGCTTGTTGTCGCTGTGCAGCTGTGGCGCTCATGCATGCGCATATACACACAAAAGCCAGCTAAAAAATAAAAATAAAAAATAAAAAAAGTTTTCGAAAAGTCCGGATTCTCAGGTGGTCCGGATTTCTGGCATCCGGAATTTTAGACCTTTACTGTATATGACTTAATATTGTGTGGATGTTTCTTCACATTCACTGTCAAATAGTAGAATTTATATAAATGTCAATGATATACTGTAGTAAACTCATGCTATGTTATCGTAATGTATCCTGTTACAGGGTAGTTGCTGTGATAATCAACCATGTTGTCTATATTTAGGAATATCATCATGAACTTTTAGCTGAAACTGAATCTCTTTGCAGCTTCGTCTTTCTTCAGCTGTATTATCATGGGCAGCTGGGGGATACTGAGGATCGTCCACTTCTGCTTCCTACTGACAGAATCGAGTTCCAACGTGCCCTAAGAGTAATAGATCTCATACGACCTCAGGAGACTCACAAGATAGGAGTGTTGTGTGTAAGAAAAGGGCAGACTACAGAACAAGAGATCCTAAGAAATACATTTGGATCCCTCAGATATATGTCTTTTATTATGGTAATACATATTGCAACAGTTTTGTAATCATAATGATGCAATTTTTTTAACTTGATTAACAATGTTATTTGCATTTTCAGGGTAAATAAAATGGTTGTTGGGAAGGATTTAGTTTGGAAAAAGGAAATGGAAATATTGTATGGATCATCTTTTGTTTTTATTGAAACTTAAAAGTGCAAAGTTTGTTGGATGACAATGTACAGTAAATGAGAATTGCATAAAAGTGAAACTATTAGTGATGAAAAATGAGAATGCAGGAATGTTACCTTAAGTAAATTTTGCCAGCAAATTGGGTATAAGATATTTCCATATCTAGTCCGCATTCTTCTTTTTGTGTTTTTGTACTTTTTGCAAAATTTTCTATCTAACTTTTGATTATGATTTTATTAATACTGTGTGTTGCTCTTTCCACTTTGCATCTACCACTATTGTTACTGCTATATGCAAATGATTTGCTAACTTGGTCTTGTAATTTTTTAACACATGAAGTTTTATTTTATACATAGGCCACCCTTTGACTTATGTCAGGTTACATTCCTAGAAAAGGTACCTGAAGTCAACACCAATTTTCCTAAAGAAGCAATGATATAACAGAGGTTACATACAATGATAGTTTAGAAGGTTCTTACCCTGATTCTCTAATTCTTGATTATTTGCACTGAATATTTGCAGTTAAAGATGGGGAAACTACTGCAAGAAGTCTGAAGAACAACTTAATCATGGTTATATGGAGTTTTTTTCTTTTTGAAAAATTTTATGTTCTTAGAGGAGACTTATTGGGAGATTTTGGGTCACTTGATGGCTTTTTGTAGAATGCATCCAGGGTAGTTTGTGTAACTGCCCTCATTGTAACTTTTCCTGTAGTAATCATAGGTATTGGCTATCACTTTGTTGCTCTTGAGCTACATTCCAGGTTGCGATCCATTTTCTCAACAATTGCCATTGTTGCATCGACATCTTATCTGCAGGCAGTTACCGAGCCTTGGCAGCGGCACCAACACATACAGTGCAGCTATCAGAAGGAATAGTCAAAACACAAAATGCCACCAAGCACGTCTGGCAAGGGGACAGGCGGCACTGAACATTAGGGTGGGCGGTCAATTACGCTCTTGGATTATTTAACACATAAGACATTCAAATATGTTAAACAGTAACACTGATATATTCAACAAAGTTCACTTAATATGGCAGTGTGAGGCACTATGTACAGTTTTGTTCAAGATTCTTCGAACACTGCTGGAGACAGCTGGCTACTCAAGGCCTTTTGTTTACTATATTACGCAGCAAAAATTATAAATGAATGTAAAAGTGATCGGCGATTGGTTACTTTGTTCCCCGTTGCTTAATTACTGGTTGGGCATTATTTCGTATTATATTATACTATATACTATAGTAAACAATTGGCCTTGAGTTGCCAGCTGTCTCCAGCAGTGTTCCAAGAATCTTGAACGAGACTGTACATACCTGTTAGGTGAAATGTTACAGTACACCTCGGGCTGAGAAAACGAGGCTATGAGCTTACATTTATTTTATACGATTAACTTTTATAATCTAATCAGTGTTCGCACTTTGCAATGCAAGAATTAACTTTGTCAAGTACATTGGATGGCAGTATATTATGGGTGGAGTCACAAACCACAGCATTCTCTCTTCCCAAGAGTATATGTTAACAGGTTTGGCTCTCAAGATTTATGAGTTTCTTAAATACAAAAATGACAATACATTAATTTCAATACACTCTTTGGATTCTCTGAGGTCTGTAAATCAAGGAAATACAACTTCAGCTTTGAATTGTTATCTCGTAACTTCACGAGATGCCCAAATTGATCCTAACTGTTTGCTTGCTTCTCAAAACACATCGTCTTAACACAATTTACACTACACATAAAGATAGATGAAGCCTTCAACATATACTCCATGCATCTTGAATGCTTCAGCTCACAGTAGGTATATCTGACTTATGGTGACTCATACAAGTTACATTGTATTTTAAATTTACATACCTTACATAATTATCATGCTGGCCCTTCAGGCAAGACTATAGAAAATGGAAGGTGTCTCCTAACAAGAAAATACATGTCGCTTTGAGTGGGTAATTTAAGAAAGGTCATAGCTATATGTTTTAGTGACTGGAGCATAATATGAATCACATGACGTATGTTAACTAACATGTATGATTGAGATCAGTAATAACATTAGATAATACAAGTGAAGCACTAGATTATGTCTTGAGTCCACGTGGTGCGTGGGGACGGCACCTGAGGACCAGAGTTGTTAAGTAACTTAATAAATTTACTTGAGTACTGTACTCAAGTAACATTTTTGGGTATTTACCTTTTAAAAATTACTCAAATTTTTTAATACTTTTATTTGCATATGGTTTTCTAATACAGTAAAGCCTCGAATAACGACGGTAATGTGTCCTCTAATATTGCAGTGCAAGGTGAATCATCGTATCGCGAATCATTAATTACCATTAAAATAACGCAATAATAATGAGATGAGTTCCCAAGTGTGACCTTTTCATATCTTTAAATAATGTTTCTGGATGCACCTTATACAATATAAATGGATAATAATATGGTCACACACGAGGAGATGGGACGCCATTGTTTTCGTTAGTGTTTACAGCCGGGAGTCCGGAACGATAGTTCTACACGAGAAAATTAAGAAAATAAAACTGGTTGTAGCTGTCGTAAAATTAGTGTAAAAAAATGAATATACAGTATTACCCCGCCTAACACGGTTTCACTTAACGCGTTTTATCATATACGCGGTGCCTCGCCAGAGCTGAACTTTCACTTAACACGGATTTTTTCCACATACGCGGTGAGTGTCCGGCTCCAGATGCTATTTTTAGATTTGCCCCACCCACCACCCTGCCTGACTGCCTGTTTTAGCTCATAAAATTCATACAAATTACCCGGCCAGAATATAATTTACATTGCTGGAATTCTTTTAATTTGGTGATCATTTTGAATATAAACATCATATATTTTGCATTAGACATACAAATTTTAGATAAAATGTTCACTCTTGAGTAAATATGTTATCTTTTGTGCAAAATATATGACATTTATATTCAAAATATTCCTGGTCTTACAAGGAATCCAGCAATGTCAATTATATTATCCTAACTTTAGTTTGAGGTATTATTTATTACAAAAAAGTTAAGTATTCTGGTTTTCCCACACATCTCCTTGGGACGGTTGGTGGGGGGTGGGGGGGAGGGAGGGACCGACCGACCATCTGTTACCCTGTGAAGAATATTTTTTTTTTTTTATTAACTGAAGATATTTGTTTTAGCTCATAAAATTCATACAAATTACCCGGTCAGAATATAATTTACATTGCTGGAATTCTTATAATTTGATGATCATTTTGAATATAAACATCATATATTTTGCATTAGACATACAAATTTTAGATAAAATGTTTACTCTGAGTAAATATGTTATCTTTTGTGCAAAATATATGACATTTATATTCAAAATATTCCTGGTCTTACAAGGAATCCAGCAATGTCAATTATATTATCCTAACTTTAATCTGAGGTATTATTTAATACAAAATGTTAAAATTATTTTTTTCACCCACTCTTTCTCTTGAAGGGACGATTGGTGGGGGGTGGGGGGGAGGGTTGGGACTGACCGCGCGGTTGGAAGAGGGGGGAGGCAAGGTGGGGTACTTTGATTGACAGATAGTGTCGTGAAGATTATTTTTTTTTTTATTAACTGAAGATATTTGTTTTAGCTCATAAAATTCATACAAATTACCCGGTCAGAATATAATTTACATTGCTGGAATTCTTATAATTTGGTGATCATTTTGAATATAAACATCATATATTTTGCATTAGACATACAAATTTTAGATAAAATGTTTTCTTGAGTAAATATGTTATCTTTTGTGCAAAATATATGACATTTATATTCAAAATATTCCTGGTCTTACAAGGAATCCAGCAATGTCAATTATTATCCTAACTTTAGTTTGAGGTATTATTTATTAAAATTTAGTGGTTTTCCCCCAAAAATTTCTCAGAGAGGGAAGAGCCGGCAGTGTAGTGTGAGAGGGGGAGGGAGTTGAGTCCATTATTTGAATGGACATTAACTTGGCGACTGTATTTCTCTATTTCTCTTAAGTATTAATTGTGTGCATGTACCATCATAAAATTAAGATGTTATTTTTACTACAACATAGTTATGTGTCTTCAAAAAGTGGAGTTTGGGGGTCGGGCCGGTTTCTATTGGAATTAATCCCATATGTTCTGTTGTTCACTTAACGCGGATTTCACTTAACACGGGACCCTCTGGGTTCTATTGACCGCGTTAAGTGGGGTACAACTGTATATATGTTTTAAGTAATGTTTTGTAATGTTAATAAATGGACCAATAGAAGTAGGTAACCACTAATGGCAAAGAAAAAAAGTGAGATGGATTGGGAACGCCAGCATATACGTGCGCATTTAATGATACCGCATCAATTTATCTTTTTAAGAATATGTACACAAGATTCATTATTGTTTATTACTGAATATGTGTTTGATTGAATTAATCTTTATGTATGCGAAATGAACAATACAAATCATTGATAATACGTAGAATATTAAAACACACAAGAGGATAAGAGACGGCATTATTGTCAGTGTTTACACCCATAATGTCAGTTATCCACCTGAAACTGAAGATAATAAGACCCTGGTTGTTGTTGTACAGGTTGTACCCCTCTAGTCCGGCAACCTCGGGACCTGACCGGTGCCGGACCATGGAAATTCACCCTTTTCCTGGATAGATAGTGACTTGTGCTTATGCTTGGAAGCACTAGCACCACTTTCTCTGCGTCATGGTCTCTTTGAAGACATATTGAAGGGTTAAATGTCGTATAGTAACTTCTCAAATTTCGCGAGTTTTTAATTCTTAACGTATTTTATTGGAACACACAAAAAAATAAATAAATAAAAGTTTTGACGGCGGAAACTTGAATTTCGATGGGTTTGA